CATTCCATGTTATATCTTTTTTGTGTGCAAAAGAGATATATACAACGTGTCTTAAGTGGAAACGCAAACGTTACTTTTATGTTATACAAAGCAAACTATTTTTGAAATTATTTTTTAAAGATCGGATTGAAATTGTTAATAGTTTTTATTGGTTTAACAAAATTGAATTCCTAACTACATTTCCAAGTCACCAAATTTTTTACATCATACAAAATTAAATAGCGCGGCGCGGCGCAGTTTGAAAATCTTTCAAAAATCGAGCGCTACCAAACAACTTTTTTTCATTTTTGATAAATCTGTTGTATCTGTCGCATAAGTTGTTTTCTTATCTTGCCCTATTATCTTCATAGCGGCTTGGCATTATTTGGTTGAGCAAATATGTTACCGCCACTTTTTACACGATCGGATATGTATCATATTCTGTTGTCCTCAATGTCACCCAACATGAACACATGGACGTTCGGCAAAGGTCTAACTCAGTCTCAAGATTTAACATTTCTGAATTGGCCTCTTACTCTATAATATTTAAGCTACACATGATGAGTCTTTTAGGGAAAACAAAATTTTTAAATATAGGGCACTGAGAAGTTGTCTACAGCAACCATAAAACTTACTACGTAGGCTTCGTAATGTTGATGAGGTTGAGCAACTTTCTTACTGGCAACTTTTTGAGACAGCAGGTTAAAAGCATCTAGTATACAGAACCGACCTTAAATATTCTATTTACTGATTTACTAACAAATGAATTACTGCTGATGCTGTTCCAATGAAGGTTTCCAAGGGAAATTGTCTCTATAAACAGTGGCAGCTGCACCCAAAGCTCATTGCAAATCCTCCAGGCTGGAAAAAGTGGTTGAACAGTACAAGGATCCCCCACGAACAAATCATGTTGGGACTTCCTTGGTATACCAACATCTCAAAGCTTCTCACCAAATACAACTTCACCACCTCATCTTCCTCAAAATCTAAGCTCTCCACCCAAATCAGTCATAACATGAGGGAAGAATTCGTGAATACCTGGAAAGCTGCCAAGGCCTCCTCGCCAAAACTAGAATTCTATAACTTAATTAAACATGATTTCGAACCAGAGGCATACCTACGAATTATCAAAATACCGGATGTTCGAAAAAGTCTGACAAGGTTTCGTATCAGCTGCCACAACCTCTACATCGAAAGGGGCCGATATGAAACCCCCCATGTACCAAGAGAAGAACGTTGGTGCACCTACTGCTTTTTCAGCAAAGGGCTAAAGCCTATTGAGGACGAAAGTCACGTATTGATTGATTGTTTGCTCTACTCCTCAGTTAGGGAAAAATTCAATTTCCATCCCCTAAACATTACTGACCTAGTCGGTTTGCTCTCCAACAAAACTCTAGATCCTACCACACTCACTGCCACAGCAAGAGCAATCCATTCAATTCTCTCTGTGAACGAAAATTATACGAAAATTATACAGCCTATTATAAGAGTCCATTCAAAAGCATCAAATATAGGCTGCTGGGGCGAAAGTGGGCGCCACCCCCTCTTCTTTGAAGCCTGCAAACTTGCAATAGATTTCTATACTCGCCTTGAAAGCACTGAAAATGAACTTCTCTCCGCTGCATTTCACGAGCAGATTATGCTGGGCCTTCCTTGGTACACCAACATCTCTAATCTTCTCACCAAATATAACTTCCCCCACTCATCCTCTTCAAAATCCAAGCTCTCTACCCAAATCAGTCACAACATGAGGGAAGAATTTGTGGATACCTGGAAATCTGCCAAGGCATCCTCACCTAAATTAGAATTCTACAATCAAATTAAACATGATTTTGAACCAGAAACATACTTAGGAGTGGTTAAGATCCCCGATGCTCGGAAAAGCTTAACAAGGTTTCGTATTAGCTGCCACAATCTTTACATTGAGAGGGGCCGTTACGAAACCCCCCTAGTACCAAGAGAACATCGATGGTGCACTTTTTGCTTTTTCAGCAAGGGGCTTAAGCCTATTGAGGATGAAATTCATGTTCTAACTGACTGTTTACTCTACTCCTCAGTTAGAGAAAAATTTAACTTCCATCCCAAAAATATTACTGACCTAGCCGGTTTGCTATCCGATAAAACACTAGACCCTACAAAATTTACTGCCACAGCAAGAGCAATCCATTCAATTCTCTCTGTGAACGAAAATTTTACAGCCTACTATAAGAGCCCAGATTTCCACTCAAATACTGGCCAATGCATAATGCTATAGGACCTCAAAAATAGTACAGGGTGGCCCATAAGTGACTACCCACACGCAACCTCTTAATAACTCACGTAATTCGTCTCCAAATTGCACCAAAATTTCAGAGATTATAGATATGGGTCAAACTTAGATTTTCTGAAAGTTTTGTAAGCCACGCCCAATTACAGTGGGCGTGGCGTGACACTCCCTCTTTTTCACTATTGTCTTCATAAAATGAGAACGCTTTAAGCTAAGAACTCAAAATTTTTTGCACACATTTGGCTTGATAATTGAAAACCTTTCCCAAAGTTTCAAGTTCATTGGTTAAAATATGGCTAAGTTATGACCATTTCAAAACTCATCGGATACGTGATCCGAGCACTCAGTCAGTGATCTCGTCACTTGGGTAATGGCCTGTTTGGCTCACATGCACCGCTTGATTGGTTGCAGCCTGCTTATGGGCCGGCCTATACAGCTGACTGCACCTAAAACGCTATCACACGAATTTATGGTGGTGTCACCATTTCAGGGCTTGTTAGCCCTGCTAGTCACAGGTTCCTTACAATCAATAAAAAGGAATGAACCATCCATTGAATCATCGAAAATGGTTCACTATCCTCCCTTTACTGCAGAACAACGATTGTTCGTCTACCTGAAGAAAGAAAATGGGGAGTTCTACCCTCAGATTAAACGACAATTTCAGATGAAATTCAACCGACCACCCCCTTGCCGGAAAAGCTGCTTTGACATTCATCACAAGATCAAGTTTACGTTTTCTGCACACGATCGGCGAAGAGTCGGCAGAAGACGAACTGCAAGGACTGTAGAAAACATCACGATGGTTGTTGGTGACGTGATGGACACACCTAAGATTGGCACCCGGAAACGAGCTCCTGCCTTAGACATCAGCAGAACCCTTCAGCGAATCCTAAAGCAAGACCTTTCTAACCGGGCCTACCGAATCACAAAGAAACACAAACTTTTGGACCGTGATTTCCAATCGAGGATAGATTTCGCCAACACATTCCTGTCCAAGCAGAATGTGGATCCCTACTTTGAGGACGAAATCTGGTACAGCGACAAGGCCATATAAACGGATATGTCAACTCCCAGAATGCAATTCACTGGGGCTCTAGTCACTTATGGGCCACCCCAGATGCAGATCGTGACCTTTTCAGGAAAAGCCGTTCTCTCCACCACTTCATCCGGTCTAGTAGAGCCCCAGTGAATTGCATTCTGGGAGTTGACATATCCGTTTATATGGCCTTGTCGCTGTACCAGATTTCGTCCTCAAAGTAGGGATCCACATTCTGCTTGGACAGGAATGTGTTGGCGAAATCTATCCTCGATTGGAAATCACGGTCCAAAAGTTTGTGTTTCTTTGTGATTCGGTAGGCCCGGTTAGAAAGGTCTTGCTTTAGGATTCGCTGAAGGGTTCTGCTGATGTCTAAGGCAGGAGCTCGTTTCCGGGTGCCAATCTTAGGTGTGTCCATCACGTCACCAACAACCATCGTGATGTTTTCTACAGTCCTTGCAGTTCGTCTTCTGCCGACTCTTCGCCGATCGTGTGCAGAAAACGTAAACTTGATCTTGTGATGAATGTCAAAGCAGCTTTTCCGGCAAGGGGGTGGTCGGTTGAATTTCATCTGAAATTGTCGTTTAATCTGAGGGTAGAACTCCCCATTTTCTTTCTTCAGGTAGACGAACAATCGTTGTTCTGCAGTAAAGGGAGGATAGTGAACCATTTTCGATGATTCAATGGATGGTTCATTCCTTTTTATTGATTGTAAGGAACCTGTGACTAGCAGGGCTAACAAGCCCTGAAATGGTGACACCACCATAAATTCGTGTGATAGCGTTTTAGGTGCAGTCAGCTGTATAGGCCGGCCCATAAGCAGGCTGCAACCAATCAAGCGGTGCATGTGAGCCAAACAGGCCATTACCCAAGTGACGAGATCACTGACTGAGTGCTCGGATCACGTATCCGATGAGTTTTGAAATGGTCATAACTTAGCCATATTTTAACCAATGAACTTGAAACTTTGGGAAAGGTTTTCAATTATCAAGCCAAATGTGTGCAAAAAATTTTGAGTTCTTAGCTTAAAGCGTTCTCATTTTATGAAGACAATAGTGAAAAAGAGGGAGTGTCACGCCACGCCCACTGTAATTGGGCGTGGCTTACAAAACTTTCAGAAAATCTAAGTTTGACCCATATCTATAATCTCTGAAATTTTGGTGCAATTTGGAGACGAATTACGTGAGTTATTAAGAGGTTGCGTGTGGGTAGTCACTTATGGGCCACCCTGTATTATATTAAACATTTCTATTTTATCCCTACACATCTGTAAATAACTAGAATTGTGTAACCTTAAATTATTTCAGAATTATAACTATTGTGAATTCAATAAAATAACTATCACTTTTGTATCCTTGTATCCTTGTATCCTTGTATCCTAAGAGCCCAGATTTCCACTCAAATACTGGCAAGTGCATTTAAATGCTATAGGACATTAAAATAAGATTGAACCATACAAACTCGATTTATCTATTTTTCTAAAACTAGCATTATATAACATTTCTAAATTATCCCTACACACTTGTAAATAATTAGAATTGTGTAACTTAAATTATTTCAGAATTACAACTATTGTGTACTCAATAAAGTAATTATCACTTTTGTATCCTTGTATCCTTGTATCCTTTGTATCCTTGTATCCCCCGGCTGAGAGGCCAAGATGAAAAATTATATTATTTGTTACGTTTAATTCTAATTACCATGCCATTGTTTCTATAGAATGACTGAATTCTCATGCAATCAGAGTTAGAAAAAGGAAAATCTTGCAGCAGGAAAGTTATTCAAAAATAATTATGAACAGAGAAAATCTGGTAAGTTTTCAGGGGAAGAAAATCCTGTAACCTATAAGAATTCGCAGTTATTGCTATTTTCACATAAGCTCCAGCATGAGAGGTAGTTTTTATTAAACTCTTTTCAATATTTGATATTTATTAAATTGTTTGTCACTTAAATACTATTCAGGGTACAAATTTCACAATATATATCATGAAATTTAGCAAACTCTTTCTCTCATACCTTATTTTCTGTGATGAGTTATAGATTTAAAGTTTTGTGTTGTAAATTAAATGAAATTAAAATTGTTTTAAAACTGCTGTAAAAGGTCGTGTTGATAACATCACAGACTCCTTCTAAAACTGTGTAAATGATTTTTTCCCTGACATTTCAACGTTCAGGACTCCTTCTAAAACTGTGTAAATGATTTTTTCCCTGACATTTCAACGTTCAGATCACAGCAGCCACAGCGTTCCTGTCCTCTCAAACTGTAAGGGATCATCCTGACGAGACGAAAAGAAAGTTTTTATCTGACAAAGGTCTTACAAACAATGAGATAATTGCAGCTTTTGCTAAGAGCAGGAATGCTTCTGAGGAAAAACCACCAAATTTCAACCTAGTCATGGATAAGTAAGCTGATAACATGTTTGTTTGTGTTTTTATGTGGCGTTATTTTTAAAATCATTTCAGCTCTGTTTTTAACCATAATTGTTACAACCACAGTCTTCTAAAATAGAGGCCAATGTAGATTTGGAGGTTTGCTATAATATAATTTTGACAATCAAATCTATAAATAACTTCAAATATCCGAAAAATTGTTCAGGCTGGCTGTTAAAGTCGGCGTGGGATTGAAAATGTATAGACTATAGAAATGTAGACTAAAGAAATTGTTGTCAGGTGTATAGAAGAAGTTGGGTCCCCAAAGAACAAGCCTTCCCCAACCCGCCCCTCACCTCCACTTGTAGTGGTTGCTGCTGTGTCTACTGCTGCACTCGGTGTTGTTGTTTATCTGTATCGTCTCTTCAGGTCAGTCTTTTTAATCATTACTGTGTTATATTTGCACGTGGCACGATCTTACTAATCACGTGAATGTTCGTTTTGTGAGTATTATGTGTTATTCTAATTTATTATAATTTATTATAATTTATTATAATTTATTATAATTTATTATAATTTATTATAATTTATTATAATTTATTATAATTTATTATAATTTATTATAATTTATTATAATTTATTATTATTATTAATAATTACACATTTGTAGTTTTGTTACGTGTTGAAAAACAGAGCTCCCTTATCTCTGTTTAATCGGAAATTTTAACTGCCACTGCACTGCTACTGCATGGTGTTTGTACTTTACCTTTGTACATCTATACAAGTACAAATACACAATTGCAATGGAAAAGTCTGCTCATAACTCTGCAAAGAATCTTCTCGTCAACGGTTTATGTAAAGCTTGTTCGAATGATGAGGTTGTCAAAAGTACCGACATTGTACAGTGTTTTAGGTGTAAGGACAGTTTTCATGCTATCAACTGTTTTAATACTTTCAACACTACTATACTAATACTTTCAACACTACTATATAACAAATAATTTGAGGACCCCCAGTGGGAACTAATGCCTCGGTAAATGTAACGACCATTACAGGTTGTATGTCAATGTAAATGGTTGTTGCACGATAAAGTTATCTTAAAGACATCCTAAGGACTATCAGACATCGGTTTTTAAAGCAGTTTACCCCCATCTATCACCTAAAGATTATCAGACATCACTTATCCTTATCCTCCGGAGTGCTACAAAGGTACTGTAATCATTAACTAAATTTCGAACAGTAGCATCTTTTTGTGATAAACTATGTCTAGAATACCAGTTGGCTCAAGACATTACAATCTGAGATATCGAGGGAATTCTGTTAAATTCCCCAGCAACGGCTCTTGTCCTACTGATAAATGTTCAAATTGTTTAACTCTATTAAGAGAGAATGATAGTCTTCGTCGGCAAATTTCTTTTCTCTATAAACAATTATCAGAAAGTGACAGTGCACTCAAAGTTCCCCTCAGCGATGGTTCACTTATCCCTGTGTTGCCCCAGGTACCTGATCACTGTGAACAGTCTATCAATGTTCCCCTCAGTAATAGGTCATCCTCGCATCTTGTTTCTGAGTTAACCCAAGAGCTATCCAAATTAGCAGAAGACAGTGAACATTCAGCAGAAATTATCAATTTGGAAAATCCCAAACACTCTGTAAATGGTGACAATGATGTGACCAACTCTATCAATCCATACCAAGATCTGAGTCGAGGAGTTTTTCAGTTTGTTGACACTGCCAAGTTAGATATAGAAACCCACTATACTCATAAGTTTGAGAATAGGGCAGTTGCATATTACGGGGACTTTCCCTACGCTTACAATGGAGGCTTTCATAACACAAGGCCAGTAGCAGACAATCCATACCTAAAGTCTATTTTAGAACGCTTACGCTCACAGTTCCCAAAATTGAAATTCAATAGTGCTATGATTACCAAGTATAGAAATGGTCAGCAAGGAATTCCCTTTCACTCGGATGATGAGAGGTCAATTTCACCAGGCTCCATGATCTCCACCATCTCTTTAGGGGCTACTAGAGTCCTAAGCTTCAGATCCAAACTTAGAGCTCATATTGCTGACCTCACCCTCTCCCATGGTGACATAATGAATATGACCAGACAATCCCAGACCAGCTTTGAACACAGCCTCATCCAGGACAAGTCTGAAACCATGAGAATAAGCATTACTCTGCGCCTAATTGATGGCAGCGCAACCTTATCTACTCTGTCTGATGTTTCCAGTCAAGTTAAGAACACTGAACCCTCGGCCCCTAAGACTAGATCAATAGAACATTCTGATAAATCTTTGTGTGTCTACATTAGCTCTAGTATGTTCTCCAAATTAGAGGGAGAAAAGCTATCGTCCAAACATCATGAGGCACATGTATTCAGCTACCCTGGTGCCACAGCCAATGCAATCAATGAACGGTTTCAATCAGATGTAAGAAAAGACACTCTTAATACCAATAATGTGAAAAGCATTGTACTTATGTGTGGTACAAATGACGTGGACTCTATCCTGAACAGCCCTCGCAACATGAGGACTAAACTTCTGTGCCCTGATAGTTTTTCTGGTGATGCTAGAGCTCTTGACTTTACAAACAATTGTATTGAAAAACTTGTACTTTTCCTTCACAAGTGGGCACCTGGAGCTGATATTAAAATTGTTAACTTATTACCTCGGGAGAGTTTCTCCAGAAACAAGGTTATAACTGATATCAATGAGTGTATATCAAATCTGCAAAGAAAATACACCTATGTAAAACTGCTCTCAACCGAGACAAATCGTTTCTTGTTTAGTGATAAGAAAGGCTTTAGAAAATCGTCATTTTTTAGTAGTTATGGAGAGGATAATGTCCATCTCAATGATTATGGCATAGTTAAATTAGCAAGGCACTTGAAGTATCATGCACACCATTAGAATACTGCTGAATACTGACATAACACTCCTACCATCAGTTTTATTTTTACAGTACGACATCCAGACAAATACAACCTGTTTTTATTCTGTTTTTTAGTTTAAACACAACTTTTCAACTTTTATTCATTCCATTGTGAATTAATAAGATTCACAAGATGACAAATTTTAATAATGCAGCTGATAGGTTTCACAACCTCTGCATTGGTCATTGTAACATTCAAGGAGGGCTTCTCAATTTAGCTAAAAGTAATGAACTTTCCCAACTTATTAGAGATCATAAATTAGACATACTTTCCCTAAATGAGATGAATCTTAATGATACTATTGACACAGACACCATAAATATTCCTTCCTCCTTCAACCTTATGCGATGCGACAGGCCAAACAGTTCTAGGGGTGGTTGTGGCTTAATGATAAACAAAAAACTAGCTTACACAGAATTAGTTATGGATAGTAAGCTTGATAACATTGAAGCATTATGGGTGAAGCTTAAGAATAGCAAGATCAATGTTTGCTGCTTCTATCGCTCTGGAAATTATTGCAGTGTTGATAACTTTATTGAATACATTCATTTTTGCATGAAAAAATTGAATGGGAAAAAGGTTATCTGGATTGGGGATATAAACATTGACCAGAATAATATCTCATCCACCCAGTACAAAAAATTAGATATGACCTTGAGATGTTACAATCTAGTTCAAACCATTCAAGGGATAACTAGAGTTGCTAAACGTGGAGACAATGTTACCCAGACTACTATTGATGTAATATTCACTAACTGTTATGCAGATTTTGTTCAATCTTCTGTTCTTGATGAACGTATTGGAGATCATCAAGCCATTATGTGTGAGATAGATTGTAAAGTACCTATAGCTCCTAAATTTGAGAAGGTTGAAATTAGAAATCATTGTAAACGTAATGTTAAACAATTCTTAGACTATCTAGATACCTGTTCTGATTACAGTCCACTATTGGAAAGTACAGATGTTGAAGCTATCACTGCTGGCCTTTGTCATCATATTGAACAGGCATATGCAACCTTCTCCCCTTGCAAGACCATAGAAAGGCATGAAAAGTTCATACATAAACCTTCTACTGAACTTTTAAATGCCATTAATCATACACATTTTCTTCTAAAGAAATTCCGTAAAAAGAAGGATAAGAGAGACAATGGAAATTGCAATAAATGTGGTACATGTAGCAAATGTATAAAGTGTAATGAGGCCTGGGATTGCTACAAGATTCAGAGAAATATTAGAAATAAATTAGCTAAAACCTGCAAAAAGGCTAATGTAATCGATGATCTACAAGTTAAAAGTGCCAAGAATGATCTTAAAGGGATATGGAAAACTGTCAAACTGGCATCAAATATGACCCCTGGTACAACTAATTGTCAAACTATCAATGAGAATGATCCTGAGCTATTTAACTTTCATTTTGCAAATGTTGGATCAAGATTACAAAATCAGGCCCCCAATATTGAAAGAGTTAGTTTTACTGATTTTTTACCTCCTAGAACTTCTAATATCTCATTTGATAGATTCCAAGAAATAAATGAAACTGATATCCTAATGTATGTCGAAACGCTCAAGAATGACAAGGCCTCATATGACAATGTGCCTCTATTTTTACTTAAGCAAGCTGTACCACACATAGTTGAGCCACTGACCCACATTGTCAATCTGAGCCTTAATACAGGTGTTGTACCAACCCTTTGTAAAAAAGCTAGAGTAACTCCCATCCATAAGGCAGGAATGAAAGATGATCCTAATAATTACAGGCCAATATCCATCCTTCCACTTGTAGGAAAACTTATAGAATACTTTGTCGGCAAGCAACTCACTGATTACATGGAAGAGAACAAACTTTTCATCCGGCATCAATATGGCTTTCGGAAAAATCACTCCACAACTTATCTGATGTACGATCTGATGGACGAAATATATATGAGTAAATCTAAGTCTTATAAACCAGGAATCATCTTTCTTGATCTTAAGAAGGCCTTTGACACAGTGAATCATGAAATATTGCTTCAAAAATTGGCATATTATGGAATTGGTGGCATTGCTTTAACCTGGTTTAAGAACTTCTTATCTTGTAGATATCAATGCACTAGGATCAATGGCAATCTAAGCTCATTTTTAGAAGTTCTGAGTGGTGTACCACAAGGAAGCATCATTGGGCCTATATTATTTAGTATCTTCATAAATGACATCATTTATGCCTGTAACCTATCTAAGCCCTTTCTATTTGCAGATGATGGTGCACTATTCTTTGATCAAACCTGCAGAAGCACATTTATAAACATGAAAATAGAACTTATGACAATCTTTAAATGGCTCAGTGTTAATAAATTATCACTCAATGAAAAGAAGACTGAATTCCTATTGTTTGATTCTGTTGACCAACATGATGAAATAACCATTGATTGTAATGAGGTAACTTTCACAATCAAGGAGTGCAAAGAGACAAAATATCTTGGCCTCATTCTAGATAGTAAATTAAACTTCAAAA